CTGGGCCGGCTGCCGGGCTGGGCACGTATCGCACTACTGAGGCGGCTGCTGGGCTGGGCACGTATCGCACTACTGAGGCGGCTGCTGGGCTGGGCACGTATCGCACTACTGGCACCCTGGGGGACCCGGGGCAGGCCCAGAGAGGTTATTTCCCTGGGTATTTGGCCCCGGTGCAACTTCTGCTGGAGCCTGCGCCCAGGGCTGGCGCCCGCACTGCCAGGGAGAGCCAGGCTGCCGCGGGCCCACGCACGGCCTTAGGGAGCGCGAGTGAAGGGGCAGGGGAGGGGTGACGAGGCAGAGCGCTAGAACTGGAAGGAACCTCGAGAGCCAGTGAGGCCAAGCCCCCGGATGGCTGCCTGTCCAACCGGCTCTGAAGTGTCCCCAGCGGGGGTGGGGAACCCCATCCAGGGAGCCGGATGCAGCCCCGGGCTTGCCTGGACCCAGCCCCCCAGCATGAGGGAGCCTGCGCTTGCACTCCAGGCCCTCCCCCTGCCCCCGCGGCCCCACCGCAGGACTGGCGCCCACAACCCCTACTGGCAGGGGGGGGCGAGGGGAACGTGGGGCGTCTAGCTCCGCGGCCGGGGGCCACGTCAGTGAGGTGTGGCTCCTTGTTGGCTTTTTTCTTGCTTGATTTTCCAGCAGCCCCCCAACCCAGAAAAGGTTCCCCAGCCCTGATTCCCGCGATGAGATTCCACAGCCCCCCAGGCAACTTATTCCGGTGTTTCACCGCCCGGACAGGCAGGACGGTTCCCCACTGTCCAACCTGAACCTCCCTTGCTGCAGTTTGAGCCCCTTGCTTCTTGTCCTGTCCTCAGAGGCCAAGGAGAACAATTTTTGTCCCTCCTCCTCGTGACCCCCTTTTAGATACTTGAACACAGCTAGCCTGTCCCCTCTCAGTCTTCTTTCCAATCTAAACAAGCCCAGTTCCTTCAGTCTTCCCTCATGGCTCATGTTCTCTAGACCTTTCAGCATTTTTGTTGCTCTTCTCTGGACCCTCTCCCATTTCTCCACATCTTTCTTGAAATGTGGCGCCCAGAACTGGTCACAATACTCCTGGGCTGTGTCTAGACGGGCCAGTTTTTCTGGAAAATCAACCACTTTTCTAGAAAAACTTGCCAGCTGTCTACACTGGCCGCTTGAATTTCCGCAAACGCACTGACTTCCTACTGTCTGAAATCAATGCTTCTTGCGGAAATACTATTCTGCTCCCGTTCAGGCAAAAGTCCTTTTGTGCAAAACTTTTGTGCAAAGGGCCAGTGTAGACAGCTCAGATTTGTTTTCTGCAAAAAAGCCCCGATTGTGAAAATGGCGATCGGGGCTTTTTTGCAGAAAAGCGCGTCTAGATTGGCCACGGACGCTTTTCCGCAAAAAGTGCTTTTCCGAAAATGCTTTTAACGGAAAACTTCCATTAAAAGCATTTCTGGCCAATCATGCCAGTCTAGACACAGCCCAGCTGAGGCCTGATCAGTGCAGAGCAAAGCAATTCCTTGTGTCTTGCTCACCACACTCCTGTTACTGCATCGCAGCATCGTGTTGGCTCCGCACGGTTGGCTCCGCTCTGACCCCT